CAGTAATAATTGTTATCGTTTTTAGAAAGTTCTATCGAAAGCTGTTTACTTTTAAAAATAACGATGTTTACCATAGAAAATCCTATATTTTCTATAAAACCGAATGGTAGTCTTAATCGTTCCAAGATCGAAAAGCACAAGTATAATTAATATACTTACTTTAATGATATCTAGTTTTGTTGATAAGTTAAATTGGTTGAAGACTTGTTTGCCCTGAAAACCTGATGCGACGATACTACCCTCCTATGATCACTTAATACATACGAGTTGGATATAACCGAGATCGAATAGACAATTGAATGGGTGAATCTGCCCTAAGCCCACAACCAAACAAGGAACAGAAAATGAGGCGTAAATCACACATTCCACTGTCTATCATATTTCAATTTTATCTAACCTTATTGTATATACTGAGTAATCATATAGTTAATATCCCTTGGGAAAGTTTAGGAAAAGTATATTACTACGTAAATATATCGTTATTTTCTCTTTGTGAGTTTTATGACCATACTGATTGATATGACGTGAATCGGACGTCGATATCATTTATGACGTTTGTCACCCGCAGACCTGCCGGTCCAACTGTAGCTAACAGTAGAGGTGAGGGATTGTCGGTCTCATATAGATCTATACACAAACTCACGCTCTCCCTCCAGGAGACTCTAGTTCATAAAGGTAGACCTTCACTGGTACTTAAGTAAGTACACGAAGACACGTCTCACAAACTAGATTAACGACTTTACAAGTAATAATGCAAAAACCTTTTTATAAATAACTGGTAATTTTGTAAAAAGATCTCCTTGTTCCATAAACTATATTTATCATAGTTTATAAGTTTATTTCCATGTTTTAACCTGGACTTTGTAAAATAGTTCATATGATCCATAAACTATACCTATTATAGTTTATAAGTTTATTTCCATGTTTTAACAAGTTTCACGTTTAAATACACATTGATGGTAAGAGAAACATAATAAGTAAATTATATTTTAAAACACAAAATTTCTTGTGTTTTACTTGTATTCTCCCCCTAAAAACATTGAAAAAGCTTGGAAAAATATGGGGGTATGAACTCACCTTATTTGAGGAATTCGATAGAAGGTTCGATATAGGATGTTAGCTCCACAAGTGAAGTCCCGTTAACAAAACGAGTCCTAAACATGATTCATATAATATATATATATATATATATATATATATATATATATATATATATATATATATATATATATGTATACTTATTAATGAATATAATCATAAGAATGATAGGGAATCGAACTAATTTGCAAGTTTAACTTACAAATAAGGGTGTTAGATGCAAAGTTTGAAGGCTGCAAGCTGTTCACGGCCAGCTGGGTGTTCACGACCCAAGAACACTTGGTGTTCTTGAGTTTACGGCCCAAGTTAGGTGTTCATGGCCCAACAATTTTGATGAATGATTAACACTTGAAGATCCTAAGCAAGTTCCCTTGAAGATTAAGGGAAGAAGGATGATATTTGAGAGGGAAGAGAGTTTTCGGTTGAAGATCTAGAGAGAAAAAGAGTGTGTTTTCGGCCAGAGATGAAGAAATGAGGAATAAATCAGTCAAACTCATATATATAGGGTAGGGTTCATGGTCCGAAGGGAGTTCACGGCCGAGGCGAGTTCACGACCCGAAGTGGGTTCACGGCCCGAAGTGGTTTGCGGCTGCGAACCTCGTTTGCGGTCCATGCGAGGTTTTCGGTTCAGGCAAAGGTTCTCGGTTCCTAAGGGATTGTCCTCCTTAACACATTACACTCTGAATACAAAGTCCATTCATCTATAACTTATTACTCTAACTATTTTAAGGTAATTAAAGAAATAAATTTGACCTTTAATTGACATGTTTTGACTTTCGTTGACTAAGATTGACTTTTACAAGAATAAAATTTTCGGGTTGTCACATTTCTGAACCGAATAAACTATTCGAACGAGACTAATGACCATTCTACCCTTGATTTCGAAAAACAAATTTCACAATATTCATTAATTTTAATAATATTTATCAATTTGAAGATGAAAAGAGTTGAAAGGAAAAAAAAGAAGTGCAAATAGGTAGTTTTTTTTTGGCTTGACCCATCAAGTCATTCTGTCTAAAATAAGTCAGAAAGAAACAAGAATATGTTTTTTCTTTTTCTATATTTTTCTATCTCCAGATTGTGAAGAAATATACGTGGGGTCACAAAGTTTGAAAAGTCAACTTTCAAGTACTTGTGTACCCTCCATTGTTCTTGACACCGGAAAACTTCACTCAAGGCAACCGGTTTGTTTATCGCTTTGTAAGACATGATGTGGATATATCAAATCCTCCATCTTCAAAAAATAACTTGGAATGCTTGCTTCATAAGGGGGGGAGTGTGTGGTAATTTATATAATTTTAGACATCAATTGTTTCTTCCTTTTACAAAATTAATAATTTTATCTTTACTTTTCTATTAGGTCTAGAGCACTAATCCTGGTCATCTTGTGGTTGGAAGGGGTGTCATAATGGACATTGCACGCACCCCATGTCACTGTATGTCCTTTTATTTTAGTAGTTTTTCGTTTCTTGTTACAAAAAAATAACTTATTAAATTTCTTTTTAATGCATAACATGTTTCTTTCTCAAAGCACTTAAGACTTCTAGGGAGCAGTCATTTTACAATCATCCGTGATCTTTTTGAAGATGTTTGGAGGATTGATAAAGATGAATTTACAACAATGAGGTAGTTAGATGTTCTTAATTATTAATTTTCAACTTGTAAATGTTTATGTTATCATATGAATTATGTAGTGTGTAATAAACCTTGTATTATTATCTTAAGTTTCAACCTAATTCAAATGTTTCTACAAGATGATAAGAGTTCACACCTTCATGTGAGTGAAAATTTCTTCAAATTCCTTTTAGGTTGTATTCTCATGTAGATTTTATGTAGGCTCCTCGATATGATGGTGGTTAGGCATCAATAATTAGGTAGTGTTTGGTTTGAGGAAATTGGGGAGGGAATGTGATGGTTAATTCCATTAGAGTGAAAGAAGTTGTTTGTTTTTGCCTGATGAGATGAAATGAAACGTTCTTGAGGGGAATGTGATTCCTTCCCCTTTGTGGAGTGTTATTTTCTTCATTCCATGCATCGTACCATAGTGGAATGAAAACTTATAAGATAACCTGTTTTTATTTATGTAATTGTAATAACATTTTATGATTATTTTTATATTTTTGTGAAAAATTATTAGTTTTGATTAAAAAAAGTATACTATAGAGTTAACACCATACATTTTTTTATACGATAACAAAAGTTTATATGGAAATTTATTTATTTCTACAAAGCAACCAAACATGATCATAGAATGTAATTATTCATTACATTAACTTGACCCGTTCATTCTATTCCTTTGTTGTTTCATCCCATCCAGCCAAGTGGCTAAATTGCTAATGAAGTTTGTGTGGATAAAGTGTTGTATTTGTTTCTTTTCTAGACGGAATAAACCATCCAAATAAAACTAAATGATTTTACCCTTACATTCCAAAAATCAAATTTCACAATATCAATGCATTTTAACATGAGAGGGGTAAAGAGGAAGGTTACGTAAAATAGTCATTTGGTGCTTAACCTACTAAGCATGTTAAGTCATTCCGGCTAGAATAAGTAAAAAAGAAACATAAATATATCATTGTCTATATTAAGTGCTTAACACACTAAGCACATTAAGTTAATACGAAACAACCCCTTAGTCTATATGTATAATTTCTTTTCCAACTTTAGTAGATGAGTTCATTCTAGTTGTCCGTCGGAAATACTGTCATGCTCTTTTGGCAGAGCCATCTCAAGGTCTTGTCGACGCCAACTCACACTCAGCAGCCCTTAGCCTCTCACTGTACACTGAGTATTTTGTCGTTCCGAACTCACATTCTCTATATCTCTCTTTCCTTGATATGTGCATCACTATTTATTTAAGCATCTCATACTAGTATCCTTTAAGTATTATGAACACGTGTGATTATAGACTAGGACAACTTTATTTTTATAGTTTTTACCTATGTGTTGTCATTGTCTAAAATTTATTGTTTTCACTTTTAAACCTTATACTTTTATGATGAATAAAAGGAATACTAAATTACTAATATAAAGATATATGTGTTTATGTATAATTAATTTTAATATTTTTTTTCAGGATTATTTGTTTTATTTACTTATTTAAATTATTATAAGAGTACCTTAGATTAGTACAAAATAATGAAAACAGTGAAAAATGTTAACTTTTATAAACACGTACCAAATAATGTTAATATTTATTTATTATTAGACAAATTAAATTTTGTTCTAAAATAACTAGAACAAACATTTATGTTACTATTGAAAATATTATATTACTTCAACATTTATTTCACAATGTTTTTATTTAAAGTATTTTAGTGTATATGCCATTTACATGATATGTAAGAGTAAATGAACAACCGTGATGCAAGTGGCATCTTCATTATTCTGTCACCCCTTAATCTAAAATTATGGCTCCGTCCCTCTAACCACACTCCTTGCATAGATTTCATGTTCAAAAAGTTTACGTTGCTAGAAACCATTTGAGTAAAGACACTTTTGTAGCGATAACTAAAATTTAATATGAAATGAATGTGTGTGGAGTAGCATATATATAATGATGATATGTTCAAATCATAGCACCACCATGTGCCACGTCATCACAGTACCCTACCAAAAGCATGATTTTTCCAACACCCTTCCAATGTAGGACTACTCTTACCACACGCCCTCCATATATAGACCCTTTCTCCAATCTCTTTCCCAATTTACCCTTACTAACTTCTAGCAACCCCCCTCGCCTCCAAGGACAACCGAGTCATTTCGCATATCCACCTTCAAATTTTATTCCTTAAATCCCGATAACCATCCTCAAAACCCTCTTATAAATCTCCCTTACACAGTCACACGTATCATGCATCAATCATCATCAACAACAAAATCTCAATCTCATCTAATCATCTATGGCGAAACTCCAATACTGCCTCATCCTCCCTCTCCTCCTGCTCTCCACCTTCGCAACACTATCTCACGGTGGTAACTCCACCACCGGACCACCCAACACCATCCCTGAAGAATGCCAGAAGGCCACCGGCGGACGATGCCACAGCAAAACCAGATCTTTAAAGCTTAAAGTCATCGCCATTGCTGCAATTTTAGTAGCAAGTATGATGGGTGTGATCCTACCCATGCTTTCACGGGCCATACCCGCTTTACAACCCGACAAGAAGCTCTTCGTATTGGTTAAAGCCTTTGCTTCCGGAGTAATTCTCGCAACTGGATACATGCACGTCTTACCCGATTCGTTTGATTGCTTGACATCCGAATGCTTGCCCGAATACCCATGGAGAAAGTTCCCATTCACAACGTTCATTGCAATGCTGTCAGCTGTATTCACGTTAATGGTGGATTCGTATGCAATGAGTTGCTACAAAAAGTATCACGAGAAAACAAAACAGAAACTGGAAGTGAAGATCTCCGGTGATCATTTCCATGGCGATGGATCATCTGGGCTTGATTCTCCGGCGTCACAATTGAGGAGATACAGGGTGGTTGCTCAGGTACATTTCACCGGAATATTCCTTAATTACCTAAATTTACTAACGAGTAATTACATTCATATGATAATTAATGCAGGTTCTAGAGTTAGGAATAGTTGTACACTCAGTTGTGATCGGACTATCCATGGGTGCATCGGATAATTTATGCACCATAAGACCTCTAGTGGCTGCGCTATGCTTCCATCAGTTCTTTGAAGGAATGGGTCTCGGTGGTTGCATTCTTCAGGTGATCAGTGTGCATGGCTTTTATTTACTTTAAAATTCAAACAAAAATCAAAATTTTGGAATTTGGATTCATTTGTTTTATATAATGAGTGTAGGCGGAGTATGAGATGAAAATGAAGGCAATGATGGTGTTTTTCTTCTCGGTGACGACTCCATTTGGGATAGCACTTGGAATTGGGTTGTCGAATGTGTATCGTGAAAATAGTCCGGCAGCCCTGATGGTGGTCGGAATACTAGATGCATTGTCGGCAGGGCTGTTGAATTATATGGCTTTGGTGGATCTGTTGGCGGCGGATTTCATGGGGAAAAAGCTTCAAGAAGATATGAAGCTTCAAGCAATTTCTTTTGTTGCAGTTTTTCTTGGTGCTGGAGGCATGTCGGTGATGGCAATTTGGGCATAAATAATTTTGCCTTCCTTAATTTGTTTGTTTAAGATTTTTGGGTTAGGATTGTGTACCTAGGGGATTATTAACGCATTTATTTGAAAAAGATTGATTAATTTTACTATTTTGCCCTTATATTGAAAATGATGACGCCACCAAGTAATAATAATATAATAAAATAAAATTATGATGTTGTGTTTACATCAAGGTTGTCAAGATCGGGATCCTACGTAGGATCGTTTTTGGGTTTGGAAGATCGGGATCGGGATCCTAAGATCCCACAAAATAAAATATAATTTTAATTTTTAATTTTTAATCATTAAAAATAGTTCAAACATTTAATTTTTCGTTCAAAAGTTATAAAAACTTCAAAATATTAGTCATAAGTCGCAACACAAAATGATAAATGCTAAATTGGTAAGGGTAAAAGACATAAAGTGGTAAAAAACTCATTGACAAAAAAAAAATCAAGGGAGGTAGGATCGGATCGGATCTCGATCCTACGATCCTACTTACGATCCTACCTGCGATCCTACCTCAAATACGATCTTTTTACGATCCGGATCGTTTTTCATACCTAGGATCATAGGATCGTACGATCCTACGATAAGGATCGTGATTTTGACAACCATGGTTTACATCCGACATGATGTTCGTGAACGCTAAAAAATCGTTTATTTAATTATCCGGGCCATATATTAAATGAGAAATCTTTATAAAAGTCTTAATATTTTGGTAAAAATTAACGATAAAGTCTCTCACAAAATTATTTTGAATAGAAAAGTCCTGATTATTTGATTTTACACGATAATATGTCATTTCCTGTTAAAAGAAAAATAAAATTTTTTTTGTCAATTTGATCAATATATTAAATAATCGGGACTTTTTGTTTTAATTTTTTCTTTTGGATTTAATCGTTATTTCTTTTTCAAAAATTTGTGATTTTTGTGAAGATTTCGTATACTTATATAGTGAAAATATCTTTTGTATTTTTTTAAAAATTTTATATTTATCAGGAGATAATTATGACATCATTTGTTTTCGACCTGTCATTGGTTGTATAAGTTAAATATTCGAATCAGTACAACATCGGATTTGATGTTTGGTATGATTTTTAGAAGATTGATCAAATATGGTAACTTTATAAAGAAACTAACCAACTATTTAAGAATAATTAAATGCAAATGACTATTTTATCATATTTATTTGACTTTTTAGCATCTTTTTTTGACTTTTGACAAAATTGTAAGAATGGTCCCTGTGGTATGTCAAAACTAGCAACTTTGGTCCAAAATGAGTTTGGCTCGTAAGGATGGTCCAATAGTTTCATTTTGTTGCGAGTTTAGTCCAATTTCCTATGAACTTTTTTATAATGACGGATTTGCCCATTATTATTTTATTTTCTATTTTTCTTTTATTATAACAATTAAAAAACAATTAAAAATAAAACAAAAATAAAATCTCTCTCTCTCTCTCTCTCTCTCTCTCTCTCTCCCCCTCTCTCCTTTCTTCCTTTTGTCCCTATTTCACAAACAAAGAATGGAGCACCAGTGGTTTTGACACCGGTGGTGTTGCTGTGGTGACCATCGTGAACATCCACCACCTCTTCGCTATCACATCACCGCCACTGCCTTTCCCGACTTTCTCCATCCACCCCCTCCCCCTTTGAATCTGCAACGATGACGAGAGAAGGAGACGGATGTGAGCTCGTCGACTGCCAGCCTTGTTTCGCCCGTCCCAATCGCTCAACGCCACCTCTCACCACCGTACATGACCTCACCACCCTCGTCACCTCTCTCCAGTCATACTGCACCGCTAAGGAGGAAACCCAGCTCCTCTCGTCGCTCTGCCACCCAAACAGCTTGCTGCCACCGCTGTTGTTGTGAGTTCCGGCCACCAAATGCTGCTACTCCCTCCGACCACCAGCTTCCTTTCTCTTTATTCTCGCCGGCAGGAAAGAAAAAATGGAGGCAACAAGTGTAGTGATGTATTTCAGATCCAAAATCAATGGTAGGTTTTCTTTTCTCTTCGAATCGATGGTTGGTTTTCGTTTCAGGTAAGGTTTTGTGTGTGGATTTTGTTTCAGATCTATCCTTTTTCATCTTCGTTTCAAATTTGAAACCAAGAACGTACCTACCTTCAACTTTTGGATTTGGGTTTTATTTCCGATCCAAAATCAAGAACAAAGAACACCTATTGTGGATTTGGATTTGGGATGTTGGATGGTGGTGGGTCACGACAGGGGAGCCGGAGGAGCTGCCACAGTCGACTGTGGTGGCTCTCTTCGTCGGAGAAGTGCGAAACGAGGGAGATAGACGAGTTGGAGATAAGAGAGAGAGAGAGAGAGAGAGAGACAGAGAGAGACAGAGATATTTTTTTTCTTTTTCTTTTTTTGATTTCTGTAATAAAAAAATTGAAAAAGGGAAAATACCAAGGGCAAATCCGTCATTATAAAAAGTTATAAAATTTTTGGACTAAACTCGCAACAAAACAAAACTATTGGACCATCCTTGCGAGCCAAACCCATTTTGGACCAAAGTTGCTAGTTTTGACATACCACAGAGACCATTCTTGCAATTTTGTCTTGACTTTTAGATATAAAAGAGTTGGTTCGTAATAAAATTCAATATAAACCGATCTTTTTAATGTTTTTATTTTAAAATCAACGACCAAAGAAGCTTTATATATTTCCACTAGAAAAAACTTCCCATAAATTTTAGCTTCTTTATTTTAGAAGACAAAAATAAGAAAAAAAAAGTTTTAGATAAATTGGTTGTAGCGACACAACTTATGTAAAAGAAAAGTCTTAGGGGTGTTTGGGATAGCTTTTAGAATGACTTTTGACTTTTAACTTTTTCAAAAAGTCAAAAAAATATTTGGGTAATAGAAAAGTTCTTTTTAAAATGACTTTTTGCATAGAGTAAAATTAGGAGTTTCAAAAAGTCACAAAAAACCTGACTTTTTATGATTTTACATGTAAACTAAAAGTCATTTTGCTAATTCCAACACTTTTTAAAAAGCTTCTTTTACAAAAAGTCTTTCTACAAAAATGACTTTTTATGTTTAAAAGCAATCCCAAACACCCCCTTAATTCTGATTAACTAATTATAAATTAATTCTTTCCAAAATAAATAAATAAATCCTCAATAAGGTCTTGGAAAATCTATATGGAGTAAAGTTATTCAGTCATACCTTCACATTGGGTGCTGACTAACGGAATCCGTCCATACCTCACAGTTGACTCACAGTTTGAGTCACAGAGTTATTCAGTCTCGTACCTTCATATTTAACCTCAAACCTCCAAACTCAGCACACACACTAATCAGTCATCAATGACGAACACTTTCCTCCATTACCAATCAATCGCAGAGAAATTCCTCCTCTCCTCCACTAAATTCTGGTCAACTATCTCCACTGTCGCCGCCATCGCCGGCCTCTCATCCTTCTTCTACTCGACTCATGAGCAATACACAAACAGTTTCAACAATTCCGGCAGATACATTTGCGCCTTCATCATCATCGCCCTCCACTTCATCATCTTCTTTTCTGATCCCCAAAAGCTCAAAGTCGCAATCGCCCCCTTTTTTCCCGGATCCGCTATGAAATGGACCCTGCGATTCACGGCTATGAGAGTCATTTACGTCTTCCTTTATGTCCCCGAAAAATCGGTTGTTGTGTTGATATTCTCGATTTGTGTTTGGATTGACATTATCGCAATCACTCGGATCATTAAACCCTCGATTGATTTATGGGTTACAAATTCGGTGTTTATCGCGGTTGTTAGTCGAAGTATTGATCTATACGGGTTCACGGTTCATCACTGGTTGATCATGTTGTTATGTTATCCGGTGATGTTTGTGCAATTTCGGCTAGAGGGTTACAAGGATGAAGAAACAAAGGAGAAAGAGGGATGAAACTGTTATATAGGGTTCATGTTCCTTCGATCGTTGTAGGAATTTGTAGGCTCTAACATTCATACTTTGTTAATGGTTACACTTTTCAATCAGGGAACTGTTTTCAGTTTTGATATTGGAGTTATAAATACTGTATTTGCAAAAATACATAAGAACAATATCATTGTTTATTTATAGAGTAAATTACACGAATGGTCCCTATGGTTTAGGGTAATTTGCACGTTTGGTCCCTAACTTAATTTTTTAACTCGGAAGGTTCCTACTGTTTGTTTTTTATACGCGCTTGGTCCATGTCTTACCTAAAAAAACTATTTTGCCCTTGATTTTTTAATTTATTTAAATAAACACACTCCTAACCCCACCACCTCACCTTACCTTACCTACCTTACTATTTTTTCCTATTTAAATAATAGTCTTTTTAGGTCAGATAAGGATCAAGCGCGCAACAAAAACAAACTGTAGGAACCAAGCGTGTAACAAAAACAAACAGTAGGGACCTTCCGAGTTAAAAAAATAAGTTAGGGACCAAGCGTGCAAATTACCCCAAACCATAGGGACCATTCGTGTAATTTACTCTTATTTATACTTTCTCATGATTTTCACCAAAAGCTAATCCAAAGGTGACCAAATGATAAAAGAGTTTGACATTTTGACTTTGGATTTCTCCTTTAATTTAAGTGTTTTAAAATAGATTTTTCAAGCCGAAAGTTAAAAACTGGATACAAAGGAAGGAAGAAAACAGTAGAAAACAATTATGAAATGACAATTTTCATTGAACAAACTTATTTGACCGTGAAACAATTATGAAATAACATCTAAAATAACAAAGCTTTCTCGTTTAATGGTTTCTATAACATAAAATTCTTTGTCATATGTAGAATACATGCGCCTTGTTTCGTTTATTTTCCACTGAGTAAGGCGAGAGGGCGCTGATTTTGACTAAGAACGCCACAAATGTCAACCCCGGAGGTATCACATTCAACCTAGAAAACGTCATTAAAGTTTGGTAAGACAAAAACAAGAGCTTGGGTTCATGTAGTTTTCAAAGTTTGATAAACCGACCACCCATCAGACACTCGGTTATAATTTTGATAATGCTACTAAAATTCTGAAAGAACTGGCTTTAAAAAAAATCTAAACCATGGAAGATCTAAATGCATACAAAAGAGTTGGGAGTGGTCAAGTTGATGATGGTCTCAGTATTTGTTTCAATCATCTTGATTCCCTCCTTGAGATCACATTCCCTAAGAAAGTTATTTCACGAACAAGAAACTTACACTTCCTATCGTTGGCATATGACTTATGCTCGTGCAAATTTGAAAAAACTTTGTAGATATGAGAAAGATGGTCTTTAACAGTTCTACCAAAAATCAAAATAAACCACTACAAATCACCCCCATAAAGGACTTAAAAATGTTATTCATGAGGCGCATGAAAGTGCTCGGTGCATAAACAACATAACCATCCACTTGTATAACATATCATGTATCTTGAAAGCTTTCGGGACACTCATCGATGAGCCTCATCCAAATTTGATGATACCCGCTCCTCAAATCAATTTTTGAGAACAACATCGCCATGTAATTAGTATAGCAGATCGTTGAACCACGATACTTGATCGTTCTCGTGTTAATGCATTGACAACATATAGAAAGTGCCCACGTTTTTGGGAACCAATAACACACACAGACTCATAGTCTCTCGAATCAAGCCCTTCTCCAAAAGCTATGTCACTTGTCCTTGAAGTTTTGCATATTCTTTTAGGTTTCATCTGATAGGCTACCTTGTTCGAAATGAAAGTCCCCGAGACAAAATTGTTATGTCCTAAACCATGGAACTTTAAGTCATGATGGTCGGATTAAGTTCGTTCTCGGCTTTTAAGGCTAGTTGATACACATATGAATATGTCCAATAAATAATGATCAATGAAGACTCCTAATATCCTAGATATAGAAAACTAAATAGGGTTCAACTGGAACAATTGATTTCAGGTCGTGTGTCTTCATTCAACTGATAAAGAGTATATATATATATATATATATATATATATATATACACACACACACACACACACACACACATCAAAGATCCAAACGGATAAAAATATGAAAAAAGATTATAATCCTACCAGGAAACTAGGAATAAATATAAGATAAACACAAGAGAATATAAGATAATCTCGATCACTTTCTTCACTCCCCCTCAAGATGGAACGTGAAGATCACGAACGCCCATCTTGCCTAACATAAAACGAAATCTGTCAGTCCCAAGTGGTTTGGTAAAAAGATCTGCTAGTTGATATTTGGTGTGAATAGCAGTTAGAAATATTTTCCCAGACTCAACTCGCTCACGAACGAAATAACAATCCATCTCAACATGTTTAGTACGTTCGTGAAATACCAGGTTGTTAGTTATATGTCGTGTAGCTTGATTATCATAATAAATTCGAGTAACAGTCGTCTGAGGAACTTCAAGGTCCGTTAATAACCAACGAAGCCATAAAATTTCACTCACTGTAGTGGCCATGGATCTATACTCAACTTTAGTAGAAGAGCGAGACACGACAGACTGCTTCTTTGTCTTCCAAGAGAGGATCACCTCCAAGAGTAATAAAATAACTAGTCTTTGAACGCCTCGTGAAAGGGCAACCAAGCCAATCGGAATCACAATATGCAACCAATGTTAAATCACTATCAGTCGGAAGAAAAATGCCTTGACCAGGCGTGGCTTTAAGGTATCGCAACACACGGAGAGCCGTAATCCAATGAGTTTCCCGAGGAGCCGAAAAAACTGGTTGAGCGTATTTACTGCAAACGCAATATCAAGTCGGGTGACTTGTAGGTACAGAAGACGACCAACAAGCCGCCTGTACTTCCCAACATCAACTAAGGGTGAATCGTCTTCAGTAGTAAGACGAATGTTCAGCTCCATAGGAAAAGAACTTGGTCTACACCCTTCCAAACCACTGTCAGCAAGTATATCAAGAGTATACTTCCTTTGGATAAGAACCATTCCATCCGGTGTCCGAGCCACCTCAATTCCAAGAAAATATTTCAGCGTTCCCAAGTTGCCGTCGAGAAAGGTTTTAATTTTAGCAATGTGACGATCATTATTCCCCAAAAGAATAACATCGTCCACATAGATGAGGGCTGAAATAAAAATATCCTTTTGCTTGAATATAAAAAGTGTGTGATCAGCCTTAGAATGCTTGAAACCAATTTGTAAAAGTGCTTCAGTGAACTTATTGTACCAATTTCGTGAGGCTTGCCGTAAACCATACAAAGATTTTTGTAGACAACAAACTCAAGTATCCCCTTTCTTTGCAAAACCTTGTGGCAGCTTCATATATACTTCTTCATCTAAATCTCCATGTAAAAAGGCGTTATTTACATCGAGTTGGTGAATCACCCATCGTTTCTGAACAACAATTGCTAATATGGTTCTGACTGTCACTAGCTTGGCAACCGGTGAACGTCTCATGGAAGTCAACGCCTTCAATTTAGGTGAAACCCTTTGCAACTAGTCTTGCTTTGTAGCGCTCTACTTCACCAGTCGGTTTATATTTGATTTTGTAAACCCACTTTGAGTCGATAGCTTTCTTTCCAGGTGGCAAATTTGTCAACGTCCATGTGTTGTTATTTTCAAGAGCTTGAATCTCCCTTTGCATAGCATCCCTCCAATGTTGACTTTTAACTGCTTTAGAAAAGTGTTTAGGATCATCTAGAGAAGAGATGACACTCAAGTAAGCCTTGTGGGAGTTAGTAAAATTCTTATAAGACACAGAATGTGATAAAGGATGTACCGTTGAAGAAGCCGTGTTGACATGGGAGTGAGAATGGTCAATGGAAGGTGGCAATTCGACTTCAAATTCTTGCAGGCGTGCAGGTTTGGTTCGAGTTCGCTCAGGACGAGTGTTGTGGGGTGGATGACGGGCTGGGTCAACATCAGATTGACTTGTTTGGGATAATGTAGACCCATCGATAGAAGACGTCCTGTCTGGGCTGTGCTGTGGGCTAGTAGAAACACTTGAAGTGTTGTTTGGAACCGGCTGATCAACAACAGGCGCATGATCAGCAGTATCAAGAATGGCAGTTGTCTCATTATCATAAGTATTGTCAAGAGGATTTTAACCTATATGGTTCCTGTTTCGATTTTCGTCTTCAACATTTTGGAAAGGAAAGATGCCTTCTACAAACTTCACATCTCGAGAGACAATGATCCTTTTGTTTTGGATATCAAAAACTCGATACCCCTTTTGTCCTTGTGGATATCCTATGAAAACACAAGGCCTCCCCCTTTCTTCAAACTTTTCCTTTCCAACTTTATTCTCTTTGACATATGCCAAGCAACCCAAAACTTTCATATAATCATATGGAGGCTTACTTTTGAAAAGAACTTCATATGGGGTTTTAATTTGGATGGATTAACAAGGTAATCTATTTATGATATAAGTGGCCGTAAGAACACATTCACCCCAGAACTCGATAGGAAGACTAGCTTGAAAACGTAAAGCTCTAGCTATTTCTAAGAGGTGTCTATGCTTCCTCTCAACTATTTCATTCTATTGTGGGGTATGTATGCATGAAGTTTTCAAGCAAAATCCCATGTTCTTGATAGAATTTATGTATATAGTTTGAAACAAACTCTCCTCCATTATCACTTCTAATTCTTTTGATTCTTCTTTCAAATTGGGTCTCGATCATTTTGTAGAAAGTTACAAGAATCGAGCTTGCATCTGATTTGTGCTTTAACAAATAAACCAAAGTGGAACGACTATAATCATCAACAATTGTAAGAAAGTATCGGGCTCCAGAGAGCGAAGGAACCGGTAACCATCCCATATATCATAGTGCATTAAGTCAAAAGGTGCAGAAGTTTTAATAAAACTATCTTGAAAAGGTAATCTAGTTTGTTTAGCCTTAATACATGAATCACAATAATCTATTTCTCCTAAACTATTCAAAAAACTAATATTGAAACATCCCAAAAATACAGACCAA